GAATTATAGGCTACTGAAATATTTGGAGAACATTGCTGTTAGATGTTGAGATTATAGAATTTATCAGTGAATTGTCTTGGTCACTGTTAAAGTCTTTCTTGATACTCAATACTTTCAGAGGGTTTTGTTTATTTTTATTTCCTAGACTTTAATTTTTACTTTGATTTATTATTTCCCTCTGTTTCGGATGTATTTTCTTTTTTTAGCAGGGGAAGGAGGGAACAGCCAGAGCTTGCAGGAGGAAAGTGATTCTATGACAGATCTTCCTTTGAGACAAAAGGTTGTTAGTAATGATGGACACTCAGTGGGTGTCTGAAGGAGTTTTATTCCCACCACACAAAGTATGACTCCATGAACTTCAAGGTTTCTAGGGGAAAGGGAGTTGCTGCAACACCAAGAAGCAGGTTTGGTTAATATGAGATCTATGCTACATTACAGACGATGGGATCTGAAATTTAGGTTACTTGAAGAGCTCATTGATTATATTCAGAGGGACTGTGGGAGAGATATGGTCAATGTGTGACTTGTGACAGCAATGAATCTATATTGACCTCTGTGAAAGTAACAGATGTGGGGTGGGGATGGGGAGCAGCCCTCTCTGCTAAGGCATTTTTCCTTGGGGGCAAGAATATGAAAGGACAGTTTTTTTTTTCTGAGCCTCGATTGGTCCATTGCATGTGACATCACACGGAGTCCTTGTAAGGGGTGGTGGATACTAGCCAATGAACAGGCCCAGCCTGAGGCTGGCTTTAGACTGTTCTTCAGAGAAGCAGTTGGTGGTTGGGAGAGCAGTTGGCCTGAGTCGTTTCCCCAGACAGTTGGCCTTTTCCCCAACCTCTTGGATCTGGCCATGGTGAGTTTGTTTCCCTGGTTTTCAGTTTGGGCTTTTAGCATTTGGCATTTATTTACTTCATTATTTACATTATTGGTTTCAGTTTTAATTTCAAGTTCATTTTCTTTCTTTCTTTTTCTTTTTTTTCTTTTTTTTGGTTTTACGAGACAGGGTTTCTCTGTTTTGTTTTGGAGGCTGTTGGTCCAGCCTGGCCTCGAATTCACAGAGATCCGCCTGCCTCTGCCTCCTGAGTGCTGGGATTAAAGGCGTGCGCCACCAACGCCCGGTGAGTTCATTTTCTTAATTACAAGTTATGTTCCCTTTATACACTTCTTTTCTTTGTCATTTTTTGCCTATATTCTTGTGTATTTTACACATTTATTGGTATATATTAACTGTATAGGATGAGGAATTTGAGCATGACTTTTTTTTTTTTTGGTTTTTCGAGACAGGGTTTCTCTTTTCTCTGTATTGTTTTGGAGGCTGTCCTTGAACTCACAGAGATCCACCTCTCAAGTGCTGGGATTAAAGGCATGTGCCACCAATGCCTGGCTTTTGAGCATGACTTTTATATCTGGCTTTACTCTATTTTGTTCATATTTATCTGCTACATTTCACTTCCCCAGACATTGAATTTGACAAGTATTTCCTATTATTCAAGGCTATCCCCTTGCCTGCTCATGATCTTTATGAAACAAAATGTGATACCTGTGTTTGTGGAACTGGCATGTTTGAAGTAACACTTTCTCTAGTTCCAAGCTTTTTCCTGAAAAAGGCATTTCATACTATTAATATCTAATTTACCTCAGTGTTATGTGTATCCTATGCTCTTTGACATTTTGTGTACATGGACAAACCTTTAGTGTTTCTGGCTAAAGGCATTTTGATCCTGAAGTACGGTCTTGTCAATGTAGTGTTGAATTGGATGTGTTCGATCTCTTACTTTCATTCAGGATTTTCCAATTTGTCAGTTAAGGATATTGCCTAAAACTTGGATCTTTTTAAAGTGTCTTATATGGTTTGAAATTAGGGTAGTACTTCTTTTATGAAAAGATTTTGAAAGTGCCCCTTCCCTTGATTTTATGTGTGGTGATATATTGTTTATGATTTATTAAATCTTGTCTGTGGATTCAGAAAGCAAAGTCAGCCCCAGCCATAGAAGCCAGACACACACCTTTAGTACAAGCAGCCCAAAGCTAGGAGATGGTGGTACACACCTTTAATCCTAGGACTCAGGATTAAGAGATGGATGGATCTATGTGAATCCAAGGCCACCCAGATCTACACAAGAGTGAATAAGTCTGAAAGAGAACTATAGCTTATACCTTTAATCTCAACATTAGGGAAGTATATAAGACAGAAGCAAAGTCTCATAGAGGCATCGTTCTCCAGCCACACTGAGGAGAGGCAGCAGTTTGAGACTTTGTGAAGAACTCATGCATGGGTCAGCCCTTTTATTCTGAGTTAGAGGCAAGAGCTAGAGGCCAGCTGTTTTGCTTTTCTGAGTTTTCAATTTTAGAATTCAGTCTTTTATTTCCCGTTGGCTTCTTTTTTCTTGTATTAAACACATTGTCATAATTATTAGACTAAATAAATATATACTTTATACATTGTATATATGGCATATAATTCTCATGATAATTGTGTGTATTATATATGCTTCTGATAATATATAACTCTACTAGCTTATTACTAGAATTTGTTATGCTATGTTATATAATCAGAATTACATACTAAGTATATTAAATCACTAAATATATGATTTATATACATTACACATAAGCAGTTGCATGACATTTTCATACACGCCTATACTGTACTTATCCTATTTCCCTGCACTGTTTCAGTACACCCACCACATCTTTGTGAAAGATACTATGACTTTTACCAAAGCTCCGCCCCCTCCTTCCTCATAACTCAGAGAAGATAAAGTAGATCCTATTTGTGTTTATGGAACTGCTTTGTTTCAGGTAAAACTGTCTAGTGTTAGCCCTTTCCTTATAACACAACAGTTCACCAGTCACTGTGTCGAGTGTGGACTCTTCCACACATCTCCTTCTATGCTGTGCTGTTGTTAAGTTGTTTGTGACAAATTTTACCTCAGTTCCTGGGTGAGGCCATTTTGACTGTGGAGGAAGGCTCTTCAGTGTGGTGCTGAGATGGATGTGAAGGATCAAGGACTCTCCTCAAGGATTCCACATCTGTGTTCATCCAGGGAAGGAGTTTAGCCTTGCTCTGTTCATTGAGCTTATTTGGTTGTGGGATCAGGGTAATGCTGACACAGAGATGAGTTTGGATGTCTTATTTTGCTTTCTCATTTGTTTACTTGATTAAAAATACTTTTCATTTTTCATACTGACTGCAGTTCCCCCTGCCTGCATTTCTCCCGTGCCCCCACATCCCCATCCCAACCCCATTTACTCCTAAGAGGGGGTAAGGATTCCTTTGGCGAGTCAACGAAATCTACATACAAAGTTCAGGCAGGACCAAGCCCTTAGCCCCTGTCTCGAGGCTGAGAAGGGAGACAGGGAATGGGGAATGCAGAAAGACATTTCATGCACCTAGGACAAGCCCCTGCCACCCCCCCAACAGATCAAGCCACATAACTGTCACCCACTTTCAAATTGCCTAGTTCTGTCCCATACAGATTTCTCAGCCTTCAGTCCAGAGTCTGTGAGCTCCCACTAGCTCAGGTCAGCTGTCTTTGTGGTTTTCCCAATCATTATATTGGCCCCCACTTGCTCATATGATCCCTTCTCCCTCTCTTCAACTGAACTCCAGGATCTCAGTCCAATGCTTGGCTGTGGATCACTGCATCTGCTTGCAACAGTTACTGAATGTAGGTTCTGTGATGACAATTAGGGGAGTCACTAATCTGATTGTGGGGGAAGGCCACCCTCTCCACTATTGCTAGGAGTCTTAGGTTGAGTCATCCTTGTGGAATCCTGGGAATTTCCCTAGCACCGGGTTTCTCGCTAACCCCATGGTGGCTCTCTCTATCAAGATATCTTTTTCATAGCTCTCACACTCCATTGCTCCCTCAACTAGGCCAATGTTTTCTCTTTCTTGAAGTATTTTCTATAACCCCTGCCTCCATTCTTCTGAAAAGTTTTGGGTGCTGCAGGGAATCCATGAGATCTGGGCTCTGCCTTGTTTAGAGCTCCTTTTGTTGCCAGTCTAAAATTGTTGCTCACGACTCATGTGTTTAGTTTTTTTTATTCTATACTAATTCAATATTCACACATATCTAGGAATTCCTTTCATATTTTCTAACTTCTTGGGGTATAAAAGCTGGAACATCCATGAAGAACCCTCTGGACTTTAGTTCTATAAGTTACAACATCAGTTTCCTATAATGTAAGTTGTATCTGATCTCTCTGGATCAGTTTTCATTGTGGCATATCCTTAAAAGGAAGCAGCTCATTCTTTCAGGGAACTCAGTATTTTCCTTCCCATGCCTACTTCGATAATTCCAACTCTGATCTTCCTATGATTCCTCATCTACTGCTTTGGGCTGGGTTCTTCTAGTATTTTTATAGCCTTGAAGAGCATCATTAGGTTGTTTGGGATATTTCAGATTACATGTCAGAGAACTCAAAGCTATAAATTTACCTTCTAAAACTGCATTACTTTTTTTTTTAGGATTGCATGACTCTGAAATTTCCCACAGGGTAAAGTGGTTGAAATGGAGCAGAACACCATGGCCAGCCACAAGGAAGAGGAGATTCTTGAAAAGGATTTCAGGATCATTCTGTCTCTAGGTTGTGGTAAATTTGGGGAGGTGAAGCTGGCCTGCCACCTCCCCACTAATACTCAAGTGGCTGTCAAGGTCCTGGAGAAAACCACCAACAGTGTGGCTGACATCAGCACTGAAGTGAACATCCTTCAGTCTGTGGAACATAGGAACATTGTTCGATTTTTTCACATGATCGACACAGTGTTGACCACTTATGTGATCATGGAGTATGTGGCAGGAGAAGATCTGGAGAGCTGCCTCAGGACACTGGGCTGTCTAAAGGAGGAGGAGGCTAGATCGATTTTCCAGCAGGTCGTATCAGCAGTTCACTTCCTCCACCAAAGACACATTGCACATCGTGACATTAAGTTAGAAAACATCCTACTCGATGGGGCAGGAAATGCAAAGCTTTGTGACTTTGGTATGGCAATTAAAATCAGGGAAGGGCAGATGCTGGAGGACATCTGTGGCTCCTTGCTCTATTGGGCCCCAGAGATTTTGGCAAGGAAACCATATGATGGAATGGCGGGTGATATGTGGAGCTTGGGTATTGTCCTCTTTGTCCTTGTCACAGGGCACTTTCCGTATGTGGAACCCACCCTTGATGGTATGTACAGGCTCATCACCACCACCACGTGTCCCATTCCCTACCACTTGTCAAAACCCTGCCACATTGTCATTGCACGATTACTCATGGTCCCTACCTGGTACAGAATAACAATAGGTCAGCTTGTGCAACGACCATGGCTAGGCCACATTCAAGAACATGTACCACCTGCAACTAAGGAAATTCTTCCCAGGGTTGTGGAGACTATGTGCACCATTGGCTACACCTGTGAAGAGATTGTGTCATCCCTAAAACACAGGCAACCAAGTAACGTCACAGCAACTATAAATATCCTCAGATACCAACTGAGTTGTGGGGATAGCCATGGACAAGGTAAGTCCTGGTTAAATATGATTCATGCACGGCCTCTTAGCCTCTCCCTCCCCTTGGAAAGGAGAGCTAGTGAACCAACTTTTCCTGTTGGGAAGAGCCACTTTCACAAAGAGGATGTGGAAGAAAGAGCCAAGGGATGCAGGAGCTACCCCATGCTCAACAGGTGGTCCTGCCTGGAGGTGATGCCCTGGTCAGATAACACAGTCCTAGTAGGAAGTGCTTACATGGCTGATGCCATCAACACTGCTGCAGGGGACATGGATTCAGTTGACAGTCTGCCTGGCAGTCTCTCCTCCCATGAATCAGCCCTATATGGAACAATCACTGGGTGTCTGAACTTGGGCTTCTCCATAGAGGAACCATTCATGGGACCAGACATTTCCAGTGACCAGTTCCAGGTGGCACCCACAACATCTGGATCCAGGACATTCAGGAAGCAAATTGTCCATGCACTGAGAGCACTGTGTTGCTGCTGCTGCTGCTGCTGCCGCCACTGCTGCCTCCCCAACCCACGGTGAGCCCCGAATCCTTGTGTCAGGGACAGCAAAGAAAGAGAGGATAATGGAGTCCTACATGGAGCACAGCTGGTTTGGTCATCCAGATGAATCCTCCATTGTATTTTCAATATCATATTAAATGACAAGTTGTACCCACTTAGAGGGCAGAGAATTTAAGATGCCTAGTACCTTAGATTCCACAGCTTGCTGTTCATGTAAATGCCTGCAACATTCAGCCAAAAGCAGATAGCATAGCATGGGGACCATAGGGCGGGAGGAAGGGAGGAGAGTTTGGCTAAAGGGGACACAGTTTTAGAATAGAGGAATCAGGAGAACTATGTCATTAACCATTTATCTTTCAGAGTCACTAACATAGGTGCTTTCATGTTTCTTTCTGTTTTGAAGTGTGGAAACTGAAATGGCCTAATTAATATCTTCCCTGGTGAGGAGTGACTGCCACAGGAGGCAGCCAGAAGAGATCTCCAGAGTGCCAACTCCCTCTATCCCAGGGCAACAGGCTCCTGCATCCTACTCCAGCTATTGGGTCTGGGCTTCAAGTTTACATCTTCTTCAGCTTACTCCATCTCCAGCACTGTAGTTGTACTAATAGGTGGTCATAAGGCACATCTGCCCAGTGGCCTGCTACCTCCATTGCTTTGGATGTGCTTGTAGGGCCACTCATGCTGCAGGGAAAACAGCTGCCTCTACAACCAGGAATGCCTTTGTACCAACCTAGGCTGCTCATCATCTGGTCACGTTAACCACTCCAACTTATTCTGAGACAGTCTTTTGGAAAGGACAACAAGACCTTTGTAAGTCCTCTGGAGGAAGGAGATGAAGGGGAGTCATTGGAAACAGGAAAAGAGGAAATGAGGGGTAGTGTAGAGTAAGGAATACAGTCTGTCCTGAGGAACTTCCTGCCAACAAAGTAACACTAAAAGAGATGGGTGTGTTGACCTCTGTCGGGGGCACAGGACAAGTTAGAGGAGTAACAAACCTCCCCTAAAGTACATATTGGGACGTGGCTAGGGATAGCCCACAATGATCAGGAGAGGGCCTACTCTGAGAGTTCCTAGCATGTGTCAAGGCACACAAGTAGGATGCTGCCTTGGAAATAGCATCCTGTACTTACCTACTAAGCTAGACTGTGGGAGGAGAAAAGGGCGGGTCTACTGGTCAGTGGAGTCCCACCTTGCTCAGTGCTGAGTAAGTCCTGTCTGTCAAAGTCACTAAAAGAGGCACTTTCATTACCTTGGTTTTTATTTGGGGAAAGTGAAATGGCCCATTTAAAACACTGTCTTGGGTGTGTAACAAGAAGGAGCCAGGTCAGAATTCTGTGTCCTGTGCAGCAATATATCAGGGCTCCAGGTTCTAGTATCCATCTGTAGGGTCTAGCTACCATCTTCCCAATTCTTTTTTTTTTTTTTTTTCGAGACAGGGTTTCTCTGTGGCTTTGGAAGCTGTCCTGGAACTCGCTTTGTAGACCAGGCTGGCCTCGAACTCAGAGAGAGATCCACCTGCCGCTGCCTCCCGAGTGCTGGGATTAAAGGGGTGCGCCACCAACGCCTGGCCCATCTTCCCAATTCTTGATGTCACTGACACCCCTGTACTGTTGGACATCCCCACGTAGTCACATGTAGCATCAACCAATCAATTTCTACTGCCATTGTTTCATGGTCCCTGTGGAACCAGGTTTCCACAGCATCTAAAAGGACTTCCTCTGTCACCAGGACAGACTTGCACACAGCCTTCACTCCTCTTTGGTCACTCCATCACCTCCACACTACTTTCTGACTGTCTTGGAAAAGCTGCAGGAACTGTAAAGCCAGCGGGAGATGGGAGAAGAAAGGAAGTGGGGAGGAGGACGGGGAAAGGGCAGTGGAGAAGACAAAGAGGAAATGAGAGGACCTGTAGAGAGAGCGACAGAGGCTGTCCTGAGAAGATTACCTGAAAATGAGTCAGGAGAAACGGAGGTTTTGCTGGGGCAGGGGTCTTGAAGAAGTAAGACCAGGACCAAATGCCTCTGGCAGAGCAGAGGGTGAACACTGGTTTACTGCCAGCCTGCACTAGTGCAGAAGGCCCTGCTCTCATGGTCTCTGGCAAGTGTCAAGGGATACAAGTGTGAGGCTGCCTTGGAAAGGGCTTCCTGTCCTGGGGTACTGCTGAAGGGTGTGATGGAGAGAAGGGTGGCTCCGTCATTCAGTGGAGCCCTCTCCTGCTCCTGGCAGACACAGCCTGAGACATCTGTGTCTTTGTCCTCATAGCCTCCTTCATCCAGGCCTCCCGTCTCCTGATCCAAGAATCTGGCATCGTTCTCCCATCTCAAGCTAGGATTTATAACTTACATTTAGCTTATGTTAATATTGTTCTGCTCCAGTGTGGGAAGGGAAATAGGCCTTGCCAGGCCTGATGCTCAGCTCTTCCTTCATAAGGCCAGCAGTCATGCGACTTCTGTATGACCAGTGCCCTCCACAGGGGTCGTGCTTACAAGGTGCCTTGATCATGGTGGAGCTCTAGATGATAGCGACTGGTGCAGTGTGAAGCACTGAGAGTTCTGGTAAGGGGAACTGAACTCAGGGGGTAATCCAGGCCCCCAGTATGTGTGAATCATTACCTGGAGGTAAGATCGAGTACAGGAAATGTCTGTTTGTGGTAGATGAGTTCCTCAAGCCTGGTCTTGATGTTGTGAAGAAAAGGATCACATGAGGTGGCCTATGCCAGCATCCCTGACACAGAGGGAAAGTTATCATTGACTTGCTGGACTGAAGAGCAATGGGAGACAAGAGACTGTGGACGTGTGTCAAGGGACGAACCATCTTCTCTGTTGTACTCGGCATTTGGTTTCCATTCTGACCATCTGACCCTGGGCTTTTAGCAAACACTGGTGCAAACTGAAGGTTTTGGCCAGGCCTTCTTCCCAGCAGGACAACAGCCAGCTTGTGCTGTCACTTACTTTCTAGAACCCTGGCCATCTGGTGAGCCCATGTGAACAGAACACGAAGCAGCTTGCTTAGGGCGTGAGAGTGGTTTTCAATTTGTGAGTATCAACTGGGGTCAGGCTCTGTTTCTAATGCATATCAGTGAAGCCAGGACTGTGAAGTGTTTGAATGTTCTCTTGTTCTGCAAATGAGATACAGGAATTCTGGATTCCATATTTTATGCTTTGAGACTGAATCTCACTATAGTATCTTGGCCATGCAGATCTCAAACTCACAGAGATCCACATCTGCCTCTGCCTCCTGGAGGCTGCTATTACAGATGTCACTGCCATGCCTGGCTTGAAGGACAGTATAGCATCAATGGTACATTCCCCCAAGCACTTGAGGCAGAATTGTACCAGATCTGTGCTTTTTTCATCTTGACAGGGTTAGGGGTTGAACTGAATGTACTCTAGTCCAGGATGGCCTAGAAACAGGGGACAATCTCCAAATCTACCCTTCCGAGTAGAGTCTATATCAACCATGAACACACTCCTGGAGGTGAGTATAGTGATGTCATCAATTCTGTAGACACAAGGCAGTGGGCTGGAGGAGGTGTGCTCTAGCTGACACATGCTTGGAAACAAAGCACAGAATATTACAGGCTATGTACTAACTCTATTTCCACAGGATCTCCACCTGCGGGCCACGCACAAGTCACATGACTTCATTCTGACCAATAAGAAGAGTCCAGATTGACTACCTGCTCTGATTGAGTGAGTTCTTTCCATTTGGGCCATCAGAACAAGTCTTAGGACTCAAGGTGGGTTACTGAGACATTTGGTACCTGTCTTGGGATTTGGAAGGCAGAGTTTTCACCTCAAGGACACTGGTGGTAGAGGCAGTGCATGAAGCCACAAATTCTAGATAGGAGCTTCCAGTTCTCCTCATCCAACACACGGATAGTCTGCTTGGCCGCTGCTTCCATGGATACTCTTGCTCACAGGTTCCCCAGTGCTTCCTTTGCCTGTCAAAATCACTGTGGGTTGCGTGTTTAGACCACTGAACCATGTTCATACTCTCTGGCTCATGGGGAGCCCAGGGCTGCAGGAGTTCTGATACTGAACCAACTAGGACTCTCTTCAGCACATTCTGAACTGTCTGTGAGGGTAGAAGTGATCATTCCCCTCTCCAGTACACTGTGTACTATCCCGAAAGACCACTGACCTTTTCCTTGTCCTTAGTGTCCTGTAATTTGTGTTCTAGCTCCTTCAAACCTCCAGATTTTTCATAGGAGAGAAAAACAGATGTTTGGCTTTCAGGACTTGCTTGTCACCTATCACCCAGTCATCTTGAGGCATGTGTATTCTAGAAAATGTCAAGATTTTACTCTTGATGCTGTGTGTGTGCTTTTTGCCCTGTATCCTTTTCATATATTTATTTCATTAGTTTTGTGTTTGAAACTATCATCTGTCCATTGCAATTGGCACATTAACTTGTTTCCCTGTGTGGATATGCAAATTAACAAATCTGACTTCAAAATCACCAGCCCCACAGTTCTCCCCCCTTCTAAGCAAAGTGACATAGTTGAGCTGGAGAACAGAGGATGAGAACCAGAGGTTGCAGAGGCAACAGGAAAGAATTTGCAGAGGGGACAGATGGGCGAAGCCATGGGGAAAACGATGCACAGTGGGTAAGAACAGTGGAGACTCAGTGCTGCATATTTCAGATGCCCTTAGAGTTCCTTTCACATGTCCTTCCTTTTAAAGTGATGAGCTCCAGCCATCAGGAGACATAGGGTGGAGCTTTTCAGGTGTGGCCTGAGACAGCAGAAGTAGGAGCCCTGTAGGAAGTCCAGATGGCAGTGTGTCCAGTTACTCAGCATAAAGGGTTTCTGTCCAGCACAGGAGAAGGTGAGTCATCTATCACAGGTTTGTCCCCAGGAAACCCTAGTTTTCAAGGAAATGTGGTCCAGGCTGGCCTTTCACAGTATCCTCCTCAGAGGGGGCTCTGAGCCAATACCGTGCTCAAGCTGCCCATGAATATGCAGACCCCAGCGGCATTTGCTAATCTTTCCACCCCTTCAGGTTTCTGGTCCTAGTGAAATATGTTCCCACAGGAGGGCAAGGGTGTGTTTGCAGCCTTCATGTATCCTGTGTGTGCTGGTCCAGTTTATGTGTTGTGATGGGGCCTCATTGTAGAGTTTCCTCAGAACCCTCTTTGTTTCCTACCAGGAAAGCAACAGCAAGCTGGAGGAGAATGGGTACCACTATGGATGAATGCTGGGACTTTACTCCACTTTGGAAGTGAGTATGGCTTATCTAGCATATGACACAGCAGCCAGACATGGGGCCAGCACTCTTACAACCACTTTGTAATCAGGTTCTACTGGATACAGGTGTCAGGCCCAGACAGCCTTGTTGACCATAGAGCTAGCACTTTCTGCCGGGCTGTCTGTGTGGTTGTCCTGCTGGGCTAATTGCCTAAAGTGTTGTCAGGTGTATCTGATGGGCAGACTGCTGCTCCATGCAGTGAAGGATGTCCACTCTGATGGGGATGAATGTCAAGGCTCATCTGTGGGCAGCACTTGGCTGAAGGCATCACTGAGACCAATATGTACCAGCCTGTGGTAGATGAGAAGTTTTTGGTTTTTTGATCTTTTTTTGAACTTGACCCTGGCTCACAGGTTAGGAAACACGAAGCTGGCCAGGCAGGTTTCCCAAACCCCAATGGAAAGTGGTCACTGAGCTTGTCTTACAGAGTACCATAAAGAGAGAAGGAAAGCAACAGTCTAGGCATGACTTCAGAGGGATGTTGAGAAAACTTGGTGTAGGTAGCACGTCTCCTTTCTGATCCTCCATTGAGCAGGAACAGTTTGAATCAAAGAGGGTGAACATGTTCTCACACATACATATTACATAAAGAATAACTCATGACTTTCAGTCTCTCACTCTCCAGTGGCTTAGTCTATGTTGGGCTCCAGGGACAGGGACAAGAAGGTTTACACATCTTAGCAAGGAAACCTTCCCAGGGACAATGAGCTTCTTGGTCCTCAGCACATGGGTGGTTTGTCTGTCAGTGAGTGACCACAAGGGCAGGCTTCAGCCCTGATGAACTTAACTGAAACTACTGCCTGGCCATGGCCGTCTTGGGTACTGTGTCCAGGTCATGGAATCTCACAAGAGAGAGCACAAGTGGACCTGGGACTCCAGGCTCTTGTGATGGTCTCTAAGAACGTGAATCTCAGAGTGCAGACATGACGCCCAAGAAGCCACATGAGTATAATGACAACTTTTTATATCGCTGGCCACTGGAGGGAGCGTATTGTGAGAGAAGTAGGCTCACACACTTAACACTCTCCTTCCTCACTGCCTGCCTGATGGAGGCATCAGGAAGAGGTGCAGTCCATACCAGCCTTTGTATCCAGATCTCTACACATACTACCCCAACATTGCCCAGTACTATTCACTTCCCAGTGGAGAAAAGTGAGGAAATGCTCAGTAGCTTACTCTTTTGGAAAGAGCATGTCTGGTTGTGACACTGTTTAAATTCTTTTGACCCAAATATGATGACCATTGTGGTAACAGCCTGGGTCCCTTGTAGTCTCAGAGGCTAACTTCAGAACTCTCATTGACTGTCCTTTCTCTCCTCAGATCTCAGGTTCTGTTGGACATGTTCTGTGACCCATTTTCACCGTATGTGCCTCCTGAGTCATTTAGGCAAGTGTCAAATGAGAAGGGTCACAGGAAGCACAGCACCCTGACATAGACATGTTGGTGGGAAACTTCTGCTCCTTCTTGATCCTAGAGCCTTCATACGAGACAGTAGCAGGAAATCCGGGACAACCAATCCCTGTGATCAGAGCTTGCTGTGGAGACCACAAAGAGTTCTCCTTCAGGAAGGTCTCATGGTAATAAAATGGACATTGACCCTGACTCAGTCTGTCATGAATTCCATCAAAAAATAAACCTGTTATAATCTGAAAGGCCTAGATAATTCCTCTTCTGCTGTCAAAACACAATGCTAAGTACCAGACCCTGCTAGAAATCCCCCCAACTCCGTGTCATCTAAGACATGGTGGGAGCTATCAGCCATTGTTGGACACGTAACCGCCTGTCAATGACACATATGTACTGCTAGGTTCAGGCCTAGCTGGATGCCTCCTTTCCTGACTAGGTATAATGCACTGCTGGACACCATACTCATTCCACCTCACTTGCTCTGCAAGCTGCCAGACCCTGCTGAACAACACCTCTTCAAACACACATACAACCTCAAATGCATTCCTAAATATTGGGACCTCCCACCCAACCACATACTAACTGCTAGGTATCAGTACTTGCTGGGCAAAACAGTCCCCACATGTCATATGTATTTCCAGGCATTGCACCCTGATTGACACTCAGTTAACCCCACCTAGCAGGCCATGCTGGATAATCTGTCACTCTGCCCCAAACACGCTGTTATTTTTGCCCCACAGGATACTATCATATCTCAGAAGGTTCACATGCACTGAAATGTATCAGGCCCTCTTCTATACCCCATCACACAAGCGACATTCTCCAGTGTTAATTACCAGGCCCTGCAGGATACTGCATGACATCAACCCGTATATATTTTCAGGGTATCACACCTGTGGGGAATCCATACACTCAGGCCATGACAACTCCTGCAATGGTAACTGAAGGCCCTTTAAACACACATCACCCTGCAGTATCCTCAAAAACATTGCTAGGTATTAGGCCCTGACACTTCCAAACGCCTCACACACACTCTGAAGTACTGTGTAACCCTGGATAACAGACCCATCACCATCAAGCTACTATAATATTAACAGGCCTGGATTGTGCTGTGGGGCCCTGCTGGACACCCCCTTCTACTGCTTCCCACTGATAGGCATTGTTATTCATCAGGCCCCTTGGACACCCCACCACTCCTGGGACCACATAATCTACTTCTAGTTATCAGGTCTTGTTCGACCTAAAACACTAGCTAACAGACAATGCTGAAAGCATCTCCTCCTGTCCCACAAAGCTGCCCGCCAAGTATTTGCCTTGCTGGACATCCTTCCTCGGAGCACATCACACCCTCATGCTAGGCATCAAGTTTTGCTGGATTCCTCCCCCAACCGCACCAAGTGCTGTGCATCAGGCTCTATACTAGTTACTGTGCAGTGCTGTGCATTGCCCTCCATGTAGTGGCATACAGAGTGATGTGTATCACGTTTACCTGACCATCAACCTGTGCTCCCAAAAACATGCTAAGTGTCAGACCAAGCTTGTCAGACACCCTTATCATACACTGCTGGCCAACAAACACTGATATATTTCACTGTGAGGAATCATGTCACTATCATATACAAGCTTCTAGGTATCAGGTCCTGTTGCAACTTTGCGTAGATGCTGTCATCCATACAATACTAGGCATCAAGTCTTATCTGACATCTCAACATTCTGCTGCCACATACACAATATAGGACTTGAGAAGGATTAGAGATACACCATTGCATACAGGACTGAACCAAGGTATCCTGCCATTGCAGCCACACAATATGGCCAAGGGTCAGGTCTTGCCAGGAATACCCTCTGCTATAGCCAGTGCTAAAGAGACAGGGCAAGGTGTCAGATCCTGCTAGGTAAACCCTCTCCAATAGCCGACATTCTTCTCACACAGCTAGGTATCAGACCCTCCAAAGGACCCCCCGCCCACATCTAGCCCTCTCCAATGAGGATTAGGTGTCAGACCTGCCAGGTACTTCATAAATATATTCAAAGATACCACATGAGACACGGGACTAGGTGTCATGTTCATCTATACTTCCCTCCTTTAACACCAAAGTCCCCTGATACACAATTATAATTGTGCCAGGATCTCCTAGGTGGGCCTCGGAAAAGTCAGAGTCCCATATACATGGCTATTTGTCATGTCCTCCTCAGAAATACTGCACCTAGAGCAATACTTCAAATAGACATTCATGGAGAGGTATCCTGTGATGCTAAGAGTCTCTTCCCCTATAGCCAGTTCCACACACATACATAAGGATGGTGTTAGAATGTGCTAGCTGGCACCTACATTATATGTAAAACTTAAACTCCTGCTCATACACACACACACACACACACACACACACACACACACACACACACACACACGCACGCACGCACGCACGCAAGCACACACGCACTCACACTTGAGGGAGAGGAGAGAGGAGAGGATAGGAGGGGAGGAGAGAGAAACAGTAGGGCTTATGTCCTCCATGGTATTTCCACACTTACCTCAAAAGTCCCCCACACAAACAAGTTTCAGGTCCTGATAGAAATTCTGTCTTCTACAGCCAATGACAAAACACATGGCTAGGTGGCATGTCCTGCTAGGTTTCCTTCTGTCACAGCCTTTGATACACCTACACATTAGTGTTAGATCCTGCTAGATTGCACTAACTTACAAATTCATCCACACAGACACACAAACATGACTATGTAATAAATTGTGTATCTTGCCCCCTCAAGAACACATGCATCATCACTGATACACAAATCCCTGTATCTCAAGTCCTTCTAGGCATGTTTTCTTCAGCCAAATCCACACACTCAGCTGGCCATCTGGACTTTCAAGGTCTCCACCCTGTAATTCGGACTTGAATTGTGTGAGAAAGCAAACTGAGGCAGCCACGTAGAGTGAGTCAGTACACTCGTCATCTACTCTTGATAGAGTTCCTACCCTAACTTCTCTAATGAGGGGCTTTGAATAGGACATGAGAGCCAAATAAAACCTTCCACAGTAGTGGGTTTTGTCATGATTTCTATTGGCCTTAGGTAGCACACTGGGATAGTATCCTAAGATTTGTTCTTAATCTTGGGGACTTACTGTATCTTCTGAGTGCTTGGGATACAGGTATGCACTATAACTGTATAGGAACAAATAGCGGCAAATTAGGGCCCAGGAAAATACAATTCCATGGGATAAAGTTAATTTTAATAAAGTCAATTATAGAAAGTAGCTCTAGTAGATGGATCGAGAAATCATACTGAGATTAGACACAATAATAAAATAAATGTGCACAAAGATGTATACCAGAGCCAGGGCAGGAGCCTGAGTTTATTTTTAATATGTTGAGGACTCATCAGAGGATGTAAACAGAAGAGTGAACTCATGTGACTTGAGATAGTTAATCATGGACATGTGAGCAGCAACAATGATGGCAGGAACAGCACCTTAGGAGGCGGAAGAACTGTGGCTACATCATGGCTGGTTCACCACCTCGATCAAAGCCTTGGTGAATACACTCATGGCAAAGTTGTTTAGGGTCAGAATATATGTGAGCACTTAAGGTCCAGCACATAACCATTGGAATACATGTAACATGGCTCATGATATCAAAGGATGTGGGACATTCTGAACCCTACCCCACCACATACCCCTTAATCCTGAAGCCTGGTTTGTGAGGTAAGAAGGGATACCACTCCTAGATCATCCAGCAATAGAAATCCTAAGACACACACACACACACACACACACACACACACACACACACACACACAATATTTATTTATATATGTACACATAACGTGAAATTCATTTTTGCTTGTGTGTTTATGGTTTCAGGACTGACCACTCTGCTTTAGACAATGAATAAGGGGATTCAGCCCTAGGAGAGGTTAATTCCCTTCTCCCAGCAGTAATTAGTTGCCTGCACTTCTCTGTCTAGGGTAGTGCCTTTTACATTACATGTCTAGTGATACAGCCATCATTCCTGTCTTGTTTATATGGCTATTTCTAGAAAAAACTGTTTCAGAGGAAACTTCCTGGTATTCTAACTTTCACACCCTCGCTTTCATAGTGGTACCCGATCATAGACACAGGATCTGTGATGTAGATGTGTCCATTGGCACTGGCTCCTAAAGACCCGCTGGTTTATCTCTGCATTGTGTCCAGTTGTGGTTGTCTGTGATGGTTGCCCTCTTGTGAAACAGGTCTTAAGTACAATTAGTCCAATTAAGTCCAAGGCTAATCATGCCATGCTGGTTGATGTGGTTTGCAGGTATCATAGCTGGGAGGGACTGTTGGTTGCTTCCCATCTCTGGAAGCTTGTATGGTGTGTTCTTGTATCAAGAAAGCTAATCCACAGGGAACAGAAATGCAGGTCAGTTCTAGATCAGCATACTATAGCCATTTTATATCATGGATTAACCAAGAAAAATCTTTCCTCTTCCACTATTTACAAAGGCACAGTGCTTCGGGCTGATTGCTGTTTCTCTTTCTGTTATAAAGTAGCAAGACAACTGTGATGCATACAGGAAGTTTGAGAGAACAAACTTGGGTCTATGGGAAATGCTTGGGTCTATGGGAAAATCTCACCTCTGGAGCCAGCTTCACCAAGTTTAAATAGCCATGACTATTTACTAACAAAAAACATTCATTCCACTGTAAAACTGAAGAAAAGACCTGTTTCTGAAGGATCAGAGAAGCGAGAGAGAAGGAATCCAGTTGTTTGCTATGCTGTGTATTGAGAATGAGAACTAAAAGGAGGTAATGACCCCCTCCATCCCCAGAATATTATCAGGGAGGAAACTTGATTTTGAATGGTAATCCTCTGACATCTTTATATGATGTAAGATCATGTCACATGGCTTTCAGAACCCATGATGCAAGATGATCAAGCCAACAAACATATCTGTCTTTACCCATGTGTAACTTGATACTCTCTGGCTATACTTGGAGTGAGGAAAGCCTATGCCTGCAATTAGTGTGTGTCTAAATCTGAAAGTGTCTAAATCCTGAAAAACCCAATGAATGAATGCCTTTTCACCTACAAAAAAACAACACTGTGATTAACAACACTCCCCACTAGAAGCAACTTGTTCCACCCTCTAGTTCATGTTTAGGTCAAGTTTAAACGTAGAAAAATATCAGGCATTTTCTTTCTTTTTTTCCTCAGGCATTTTCTTTTTAAGGCCTAGGTCAGTCT